GCCATGGCACTACGCATACTCGCTTTTAACCTTTAAGCAAAGTGGTGTAGCATCACGAAGTTGGACACATCTTCATGTGCACATTCATTCAAGCGTTCCTAAACTGTGCTCACAAACCCAGAAACCTAGCAACACACCCATGTATTGCCAAGTATGAGAACTCAAAGTGCTTAACAGACGAAGCAAAAAAAGCTTATCGCTAGGATTCTCGGAAGAGGACACCGAATATTCATGTACGTAGTGTCCGCACCACTTTAGTTTTCTACAGGTCGCCTTCGTTGTTGCGGTGGCTATGGTGCTGCACGACCAAGTGGGCCCGCTGCATCTGGTTGTTGGCTTGCGGCTGCAGGCAGATCCCTTAGCGGTCGGCTGCCGTAATACGTGGCGTTGAACGGGTTCTCCTGCGCGTACTGGCGCGGGTCCTGCATCTTTGGCGTCATGTCGTGTCCAACTCCGCCATGGAGTCGCCTCGACTCTGGTTGTTGTGGCTGTTGTTGTTGGTCCGCGGCTCGCCCCCCCCTCTTTTTTTCGAAATGGTTATTTGTCCCCAAAGGCCTGCAGCTCGCCCTCGTTGTTCTTTATGCTGGTCAACGGTCTCGTCACACACTCGTGCTTGCAGACTGGCGTCACTGATCCCAGATTTAGACGAATTAAACAGGTCTCTAAAAACGACGAAGCCGTTGCCTCCACCGCCTCCAGCTCCGTCAACACATGCGCCTCCTCCTCCGCCACCGAAGAAGCCTCCGCATCCACCCGCTTGTTTGGAGGTAGGTGTAGCTCCACCATAAAGGTGGAACCGCCACCAAAAATATAGGACAATGCACACGAATGGTGGACAGCTATCACTCACAATATTCGAGTGGAGTGTGGACACTGTGGTGTAGCGGGATCAGCATAATCTGCGAGATTGCCAGATCCAACTTACCAACTGCGCCCAGACACCGACTAACGGAGGGGGTCCCCCGATGATCCGTGTTCTGCTGAACTTTCCTCACCTTGTGTACCCGTCGGTAGGGCGGGATCTTGCTCTCTCCGTAACTTCCGAAGCGTTCAAGTGGTGAAGCTTGAGTGTCTTGGCGAGACGTGGGGATGGGGTGGAGCAGCAGTGGAAAATCTTCACTCTGCGTCCGTGGATTGTTCCGAATCCTAAGCGAATATTCGAGCTTATGGATCCGGGGCCTAGATCGTGGATCTGGCCGTAGGGTTGCCTTACGGGTGTGTTCCCTTGCCTTTGTGTTGTCCTTTAAGTCGTACTTGCCGCCTCCTGTGACGGGATCTTGAAAGTTGAGAGCCTCTAGGGTGTAACCGACCAAGTAGTAAATTCGGTTAGCCTGTCGGATCTGCACAAGTAAAGGAAAAGCTCACTAGGTTGTAGGATCTGGCCAATGTATTATCCAGTTATCACTACCAACACTAGATTCGCAATTCCCAACCTTCTCGGAGCTCGTACGGCCAATGTAGTTCCGGTTCTTGAGGGCAGGAAGGCACTTGCGTGTCACTGTGCAAATTGGAGTCTGTATTGATATTTAACCCTCTATACCTGCCTGGATTCCTACCTTCTATGTCTTTCATCTGCTAAATCCCTTACCAGGCTCGGCTGCATGTCCCTTCTTCCCTTGACCCATCATCCCAGCTGTGTTATCTTCAGATCCACCGGATCCATGACGTAATCATCATGGTCACCTTATTATGGGTACACTCATCCGGATCCAGGTCGCTTGGATCCACCTCACTGTAATTGTACACTCGCCGTGGATCCGAGCTCTCCGATCATCCAACATCATCTTGCAACCGTCTGTGATCTCCATTGTCCCACGAAAGCTCGAGATCCACTGTATCCATCATCCCTATACCCTGGATCCAGGTCCCTCCAGGCGGGACCCTCCCTCCTTGGATCCGAACTCGGAAGTATGGGATCCGGGGTACCTCGCGGTGGATCTTGACTCTTCATTAGCCGTGGCTACTAGATCCACCTTCAGAGGGCACCGACCATCCTTCCTTCATAGGATCCACACTCGATCCACTCTTGTATAGTATATCCCATATCCATCTTAGTGAATCCAGGTAAGGGTGGATCCGAGATAAGTCTTGGTGGATCTTGCCTTCTCGTACATCGCTCATACCAGATCCATCGTCATTTCATACGGGGTGCTGATCGTCATGGCTAATCCACCACCAGCAACTTGCATCCGTGCCACCAACCCAAATCCTCTCTAATCACTTGAAATTGTCACTGATTCGGGATAGTGACCCCGCGTCAGGCCCATTCTCTTATTTCTGAGAAAGCACTTCACCACATATGTGTCGCGCTTCATGGAGAATCCCCAAGAAGAACACTTAGTTGCGGTCAAGCGCATCTTTTGCTACCTGCAAGGCACCAAGACGCATGGAATCTGCTACAAGCCGGGTGACAACATCGATTTTCGTGGATACTCTGACGCAGACTGGGCTAGTGACCTCGCGGACCGCAAGTCGACTTTTGGCTACACGTTCATGCTGATGGGTGCGCCAGTGAGCTGGGGCGGCAAGAAGCAATCAGGTGTCTCGCTAACTACGAGCGAAGCGGAGCACATCGCGCTCAGTCTGTCAATTCAAGAAGGCAAGTGGGTTCATCGCCTGCTGTGCGAGATCTTAGCAGCTTCCAATGAGACTGGACCCGACCTCAAGATCCAAGAAGACAACCAGGCGTGCATCAAGATGACGAAGAATCCTGTGAACCACGGCCGTGCCAAGCACATCGACATCAAGTACCACCACATCCGCGATGAAGTCAAGCGTGGTGAAGTCAAGCTCGAGTATTGCGAGACTTCTGTGATGCTGGCTGACATCATGACGAAGGCGCTCCCAGGGCCTCGTCACATGGACCTAGCAGCTGCTCTCGGCATTCACGCGTGTTCGCATTGAGGGGGCGTATTGAGGGTTGCTGGTCTTGGTACTGTGTACCGGTTGTACCCATTAACCGGTCAACCTGAACCGGTCCAATACGATTCCGCTGTGATTATGGTACGCTGTTTATGCCACCTGTGGTGTAGTGATTTCTTTGTAGTTGCGGATTATCACCCGTCGACAAAGACGTGACACCGCCCAAGATGTTCGAGCGACGAGCCCTCGGTCATGTAATATACGGAGACGCCAAGGTGCAACGGACTCGACGACGCCCTTCCGAACTTTCAACGAGTATTGGGATACGGGCCATATGTCACTGGATCCAGGCTGGCTTATTAATAATAATGGACTGGCGGATTCCGCATTCGGCGGACCATCTACGGTACGAACCCTCAGTGGCGGTTGGGAGGGGTCGCGGAAGACTGAGCGACTCTTGGGAGGACGTTCACGTCTGGGACAGGGCGCGGACCGTAAAGATACTCATTGGACGGGCCGGAGAAGCTTGCGGGCAAAAAGACCATTACGAGC